AAAGTGAACATATTTCCTTTTATCTACAAGAAGAGTATCGCTAAATAAAAACCTAATCTAATAAATGCAATATTATTACGTGTTCTGCTATTTTCCGTCTAATTTGATCAGCCATTATTTTAATTAGTTCACTTGAACACCTGGTGAGAGATACGTTGAATTTCCCGCACTTTCTTCAAAGTTTGATTTGATAATCGAATGAGTTCGCGAAGCTCATTTAAGTATTTCAATACAGTTGCCTTTGTTTAAAGACGTATGAAAGAGACAATATTATATAGAACTTAGATCCATGTTATGAAAAACATTATATGGTTAAACTCAAACCAATCATGTGTTCTGTTCTGAAATTCATGATGTTGGCTTGCTTTGCTATTCTTCGATTCGTTGCATATACGACATAACTGTCTCTTCCGAACAAAAACAAAAGTTTAATTACATTTATATCTTTATTGCTTTACTAATTCTAACAGTTGCCAGAATTTTCACAAAGACAACGAAATGAACAACAAACTCCTTTCTATTTCTTTGCATTCAGGTATTCCAAGTATTGTTCATTACTTTCTATCAAAAGCTTGAAAAGTTACTTTTGCTAATTTTTTTCTCGCTTTACTTATTTAGATAGTTTACAGCAAGTTTATATAAGCAACAGGCATAAAAATCTTCCTTTTTTCTTTTTCATCGTGTTATTACGAGCATTGCTCGTCAATCTGTTAGAATAATCTAAACGATTGGTTTTCTCCGTTTATGCTGATAGTTGCCAGACACCTCAGAAAAGACGACAGAATCAATAACAGTCTTCTCGTTCTTTTTTTATTCTGTTATCTCGCGTAGTGCTTGTCATTCTCTGACCAAAACATAAGCGATTTGTATTCCGTAACTTATTTTAAACTTTTGATGATAGTTGTTGGAGATTTTACACAAGCATGAAAATGAAAAAGCTGCATTTCTTCACTTTTTTCATCGTGCTTTTTTTGAGAATTAATCGTCACTTTCCGAGAGAACTTTTAATAATTAATTTTTTTCTTCTTTTTCTTATTGTTGAATTATATTTATGAATGATCGTGGATTTCATCAAGAAAATCGAGTAGCTTCATTTCATGCGTCTTTTCTTTTGATAAGTACTTCGTTAGTTTCAGGCTTTAGTGTTGGAGAAACGTAGAATTTTTTCTGTTATCGCAATTCAATTTTTCTTAAAACTCTTATGCGTGTTTTATTGAAATTTTAATTACTACTTCAATCTCGTTCTTCTTTTCATTCGATTACTCTCTTACTTTTGATTTCTTTTTGCTGAGAGAATTAGAATGAGATAAGTAAGTTTAATTGAATTTATATCATTTATTTATTCTAAGAGTTGTCAAGAATCATGTTCAAATATGTTGGAGAATTTAGTTCGTTTTGGTTTCTAAACTTTGAAGACAATACCTCTCAATCTGATTAGAGAAACTAAACAATGCGTTTAGTTTCATTTTTTATCGATTTAGATGAGACAGTTATTTGATGAACATTTTATTTGAAAAATGATATTAAGTTAATTTACTTGTTTTTGCTGCACTGACAGTTATTAAAGTATTTAAAAAGCAGAGCAGAAAAAGAGAATTAATTTTAGTTTTGTTTTCTTTGATTCTACCGAATATTCCTTTTAGCATCTCGATGGTTGTTCTCTTCTACCCAGACTAGAATGGAAAATAGCTTCTTCTCAACTCAACTCACTCTCATCATCCACTCGCTTATTTATCCAAGATCGATGAATATTTTTGTAGAATAATGATGCAGTTTATAATGCCTGGGTAGCATGTCGGTATGAGTGTGTGCATATGGATTCTTATAGCGAGGATATATATATATATATATGTGTGTGTGCATACTCCATTTCTAGATTCCATATAAAGAGATTGTTTGTGTGTTGTTTTGGTTTACGTTAGTTTTTTCTAAGATGAATCAACAAAACTTATGTCATTAGAGAGCCTCTTGGGAAGACTTATGAGATCGAAATTTCGATGTCTGCTCTGATAACTTAGACTGTGCTCCTTTCACTTTGTAGAAAACAATTTTTTTCATAAGTCTTTTTTATCAATTCACCGAGAGAAACGATAAATCTTCGACATGCAGTCGTTTCTAACCTAATAAGCGAAAGTGACTCGTAAAAATGTTGAGTTTTAATAAAAACCTTTTTAATCTGCTATAAGATTTTGAGAAAAAAAAGGGAAATTAGATAGTTGCATAAGGACTTTTTTCATAAGAGGAATTGTGAGACATTCTAGGTAGATAATACTTGATGATTTGAATCAACGGTGAACACATGAAAATAATTGTTAATTGACTCACGAAATTCATTTGAACGAAACTTTAATATCAAGACAGAAAAACTAGACGGAACTTTTTAATAATATTTCAGAAACTCTTGTAAAGTGGACCTAAATCTCTGAACTTCGATACATATAAATAACTAAATTTCAAAAATAACTGAGATGTCACCAAGAGGAAAAAGCAAGACTCCATACTTCGGAGTACAACTCGAGTAGAGTAGTCGCCGTACTTCGGCTGGATTCAACCGGTACTCCAGCTGTACACTGGAGTACGGAAGTTTTTTTTTCCTTGGACGTAGATGTGTGTATGGATGCGGGTGCTGGTATTTTAGTTTGTCTTACAAACATCAAAACTCAAGCACTCATACACTACACAATTATGCTTTCACTCTACACTTGAATACTCACTTCAGTTTTTCAAAAACTTCAGTGATTTGTCGTTTTTCGAGCAATAATAGGATCACACATGTCAAGTAAAATAGAGCAATTCAAGAGAGCTTGATAGAGCATCTTGGGGCAAAAAAAAGAATAAGATTAAATTTCGTAAAAAGCAAAAATAAAAACTGGCTCATTTTGTCTGAACCACTTAATAATTACGACGAGTCTATATCAGTGTCTCTTCTTTATTTTAGTCCCACTCTTTAGCATTACAAATACATCTAATAAATCAATATATTATTATTTCTCCTATGAACGAAGAAACATGCAACGATCTTTACTGGACTTTATTAACAAATGCGAGATCTGAGAATAAAAGTGATAGCATGTTTCATGCAACCACATTTATCTCACTTCTTGACGAGACACAGCAGTGCGATAATTATATTCTACTGTCGACCAATCGCCAGCGGTACCGAGATTACTTAAGTAAAAATTCAAAGCAGGGAAATCTTTATGAAAAAATTGCACAAAATGAAATGATTACACGAAAGGAAGAAATATTGGCAACAAAAGCTCATGCTCTGTACTATTATGGTTTGGAAAGGTATATTCTCAAAAGATTAAGCTACTTCGACCAACTGTATTATCATACTGTTGAACGTGGCCAACGTACAGCCGTTACTCTTGGCATTGCATCAACTGTCATAACAACCTCAGCGCTCGTCTTTCGGTTTCTAAGAGACCAATTTCGCAGTCATCCTAAAGGACCGTCTCATCCATCTTCTTCCTCTAATCCACCAACAAATTCAACAACTAACCAATCGAGACCTTCTAATAAATCATCACACACAGAATTTGCAGCATGTCTGAATACAACGATATGCAACTCAGACGAAGAAATGGAAAAATTCCAAAAGCTGTGCCATCAAGAGTACTGAGTATATGACTTACTGATTAAATAGAATATTATATCGCTTGTATGCATGCATCTATTTCAAACACATCGTATGTATAGAGAGAGTGCGGTTGTGTCTGTGAATAGGTAAGCAAATGAATGGTAGATTCACATCCTCATACCCACACCTATCCATATCCTTTCTGTTGGAACTCTTACTATCATAAATTATCAATAAACTACATATTTTACCTTATAAACACAAAGCACTGAAATAAAAAGAATAATTTTTCAATAGAAACGTAGGATACAATAACCAAATAACTGATCATAAACAGTTCGTATTTCACATTCTTATTTATTTTGTTATAGGAATATGTGTCAGGCAAATTTGGTATTCAAGCAGAATTAAACTAATGATAAAATTTGTTGTTTTGAAAATATTGGATATAATTTTGCCTTGTCAAAATTAAGTCGGTGCATAATTGAAATTAAGCAATAAATTGTTATATAGGCTTCAGTATTCTTCTGAAGCCTTTTCTTTTCATTGAATTCCTTTTTTCGTTTACTGAAAATATCTATTTTCTTCGATGATGACGACATGGGGACATTGACGAAGAGTTCGATTTTTTTCATTGAATTTTTTTCATTTATAAAAAGTTGATATTTTCTTCAATGATGGGAGCGTAGCGATTCTGGATGTTTGACGAAATTTTATCACGCAATCTTTTTTTATTCAATGACATTGTGTGTATTTTTCATCAGAGGAACAATGGAGACTTGACTGAACTTGAATGATTAGTAAGCTTTTTATCGGCAGCGTCTATAATATGTTTGGACCGTTGTCTTCCAAGTTTTTCCGTTTTATATCAGTTTGTTGTTATTGATCAATTAATTGATTATTATGGTAGAATGATTGATTAAAAAAGTGGCTTTAGTATGCTTTAAAACCTGTTTCATCTGGTTTTAAATATAAAGGAGATCATCTAAAAATTTTCGGATATCATGTGTCATCAAGATATTGGTCAGTGTGACTGTGGGTGTGGGTATCAATCTCGTACTAACACTTACACCCACACCAATCCACACTCACACCCATGTGGATCTTTTCTTTAAAGATCAACTTGTAAACGTAATCGAGGTTGTGCATTTATTGTTAAACGTAAAGATTTTTCAATATGTAATATCCATTCAAAAAATGAATATTCAAATATTTCAAATCGAATATAAAAAACAACGCTTTAATAATAGTTAGTATTATGTCGTGCAACTGAATACATTTCAATAGGAGATATTGTTCGATGATCCATCTATAAGAATTATTTTAAACAATACATCAATTCTATTATACAATTAAATATACATGACAAACAAAAAAACAAGAAAAATAAATAGATAAATGTCTTTTTGTTTTATTCTTAATATCTTTTATCAGAATCTGAATTTTGATCATCATCATCACTATCTTGTGATTGTTCTAATTGATATTGTGTTTGAAAAAGTTTTTCTTGTAAAGATTCATAATAAATAAACGATAGTTGACTATTATAATCAAAATGATAACCAACAATTTGATAACCTTTTTGTGATAATTCAATACAATATTCTTTATTTGATTTTGATTTTATATTCATATAAGCTATTGATATATCAATTGGATTATTAAGACATTTTGATATGTCTTTATTAGCAACAATTCCATCAGCAATATCATCTATTGCTAATTGACCTTCAGCAAGAAAATCATCTTGTTCACCTGATCGAACATTCATTTTACTTGTTTTTTTCAATGTAAAAATAAAAATTATTTTTTGTATTTAGTATTTTAAATAAAATATAAATGAATAAAACAAATCTTTCTTATGTGTCGAATAAGTCTTATTTAAGCAACCCAGACCCCGCCCCCGCCGAACCCCGCTCTCCCTACGCTCTGCTCGCTGTTGGCGTGACCTGTTGAACATAGGTT